CCATCTGAATGGCTTATTTGAGTCAAGCTGCTATTAACTCATTTTTAGGGCTCAAAAGCCCATATACACTCCTTCCTATCATCTTAATGGGTAAAGTTTCCAAATTTATCCATTAAGACAAAATCTGTAAACCTAGGTTCTAAAGGTTCTTTCAGAGGTATAACTCATCCTTTAAGTCCTCAATCATAGAAGATACAAGCCCAAACTCTCTAAAAAGCCTATAGGGGTCCCATTAATCCTTAAAAATGTGAACTTTATGGACATGCATGCCCCATGCATGTCCTCCCCCAAATCTAGGTCAAAAAGAAGAAATAGGACCTAAAGCTCATGCTAGATTTCCAAATCACAACTATTTCTCAAATCTATATGATATATGTCCTTGGGATTCCTAAGAGTCATAAAGTTTCAAACTTTATCTCTTTGTTCCATTTAGAATCCAATAAAAGAGTTTATTGAGCAAAATAACTCTAGATATCTAAGGAGGAGATAAAATACTAGATCAAGAGCCTTACAAAGGGTCCAACAAGGTGCTTTCAGAGGTTGGGGAGTGTTGCTTGCTGGTGTCTTGCACAAAATCTTCTATTACTTCCTTCACAACCACCAAAAGCTAGAAAATGGGCTCTAAAAGCTTCAAGGAAGATAAGGGTTAGGTTTTCTGGGGGTTTAAGAGTGATGGAGGTTGAGGATGAATAAACCCTAGCCTCCTCATTCCTTAAATATGGTGTAAATACTGAAAATTAGGGTTTCATTAAAATCAGATGCCCCGTCGTGGCACATATGGTCACGATGTGGCGGGTCTTTAAATTTTGTAATCCATGAAAACACACACATCGTGGTGGGCTCCACCACTTCGTGGCCACCCAAAATGAATACTTAAATATATAATGGATTAATTGCTAGAATGGTTGTTATAACACATATCGGTGGGATGGTCAGTCTTCAGGTATATTCCATATTGTTTTTTCATGGTTACAACTCTTTTTTCTTTTGTCAGCAGTAAAACTGCTTTCGCCAGTTAAAAAATTTAGGCTTCCAGATGATGTGAATTAACTTCATTGACATTCCTTGGATGGTCAGGATACAACTCTTCTTTGTTACCAAAATGTTTTGACTCAATAGCCAACTTTTCTATCAACTCCCATATTTTTTTCGGTGTCAGGCCACTTAAAGATTTACCACTTGAAGCATTAATCAGGCGCCTCTCCATAGGTTTTAGACCTTCACAAAAACAATTATAGAGTTGGTAAATGATTTCTTGTTGTTGACACTGAACAATTAGCTTTTTGAAGTTCTCTTAGTATGTATTCAAAGCTTCTCTTTTCATTGTTTGGTACCAAGGATCTCGCAGTGAAGGCTCAAAACCTGCGTTTCTAGAAAATATTTTTCTATGAAAAGTTTTGTGAGTTCATTCTACGTGGTTATCGGCCCGGATGGGAGCTCGTACATCCATTCTCTCACTAAGTCTTGAAGTGAAAAGGGGAATGCCCTCAGTTTTATCTGATCTTCTGTTATGCCGTGTAGCTTCATTCCAGTACATACCACATGAAATTCCTAGAGGAATTTATGTGGATCTTTGTTTTTTAATCCTCTATGCATGGGAAGAAGGTGTATTCGCTTAGATTTCAGCTTAAAATTTCATATTTACCCACCCTAATATCTAAAAATCATATTTTCTGTGACATCCCCAATTTCACGGCCAGAAAAGACCGATTTGTTTATGCTTTGTTTTATAAAATCAGAGTAAATCTTTTAAAGAAAACGGTTGCAGAATTTGTTCCCAAAACAAAATATGATAACCATTTATCAAAACATTTCTCAAAGAGAAATGTATTTTCATTAAATAATAAAAACCTCGGGATGTCATGTTCCGATACAGACCAAAAGCATAAACAGAACAAAATAGACCTTACAACAGTTATTTATAACTACTGATCTATAATCCAAAACCTCTCGTCAGGTCCACCAACTTATACTCTTGTGCCATTACCTCTAATGCAAAGAAAACTGAGTGGGACAGGCTTAGGAGCCTGGTGAGCATATGGAGTTTTCAACCCACAATAAATAATTAATTTAATTTCATCAACCAATAATAACCTAATTACCCATTCCCGTTATTCTCACTTTACATCCCTAAGACAACTAACACAAGGGACCTAGTCTAAGAATATTTCATCGGGGCGACAACACATGCTTCGGGGGTTCCTCAGCAATATAAGTCAAATAAGGCAACCATGAGGGGGATGGAATACAACGAATGAACACCCAAGTTCATTAACACCTACAGGTTATGAGCCTGCTAGCGTTCCACTGGACTGTCTAGAAAAGTTCGTGGTCGTCATCTAAATTCTGCTAGATGACTGGGTTACAATGACATCGAGGCCTCTCATCCTTTTATCACAAGACAACTATCTACCCATTTTCTACCCAACATTTTATTAGATAAAAATATACATTTTTAGACATAGTTTAAAACCTGTATAGTACGTTCATTCAAAACACATTCCAGATAAAAGGTGAGGCACATAAACATAGCACATATTTCATAGAGAATAAATCATATCTATGAGATTAGAAGATAACATCGATACACTCACATAACACATATACTTAGTACATTCAAACAATACTTGTATTAAGATCGTGTTTATGAAAGGGACTATACACCCACTTGATCAGAAGATGATCAGACAACACTACGACTTGCAGAAGTAGTATTCTTCGGTAGATCTGGAAGATCTTCACAAAAACCGGGCTCCTCGCGGGCAGAGCTTCGGCTCAGGAATTGCACTTCTCGGGATCTTCGGGCTTCGGGACTTGCTTCGGGTCTCGGGATGATACCGGAGCTTCGGGGGTACTTCTTTGCACGTAAATCAAGGTAATATGGGGGAGAGATAAGAGAAAATAGTAACCCTAAACGACTGGCCCTTCAAATCTATTTATAGGGCAAATTTGGCCATTGCCACATCATGGCACCCTTTTTCCACGTCGTGGGCTTGGTCGTCACTGCATACGTCATCGCAAGTTGCATCTGGGGGACTCCCGGAGGTGTCAGAAGACTTGCCACGTCATGGTCTCTGACAGTTTTGGGGTTTCGCGCCCCGAACTTCAGAAATTCATAACTTTCGCATACGAACTCCGTTTTCGACGTTCTTTATATCGACGCGAAGGTGAGATTATGCTCTAAAACTCTCGTTTAGACTCCATTGGATAATTTTGATTTTATTTTTAATATATTATAAATATATTACTTATATATTATCTTTAGTAGGCCGGGACAGGAAAACTCCGTTCGAAATTCGTAACTCCTTCATCTGAACTCCGTTTTCGTCCGTCTTTCCGTCATTGCACTACTATCGGTGAGACCTTCAGTTCTCATTTAGATCACTAAGGATAGATATCTATCTACCTTAAATTCACTATTTACGTCGCGCTGGGTCGCGCCGGTTCTGTCGCGAAACTTCGACATGTCATAACTTTTTCGTTATAACTCGGATTTCGACATTCTTTATATGCACGGAAACCTTGTGACATATACTACAACTTGGTTAAGATTAATCATTCTAAATAATCTTCCATAAAAAGTCGTTTTTGATGCTTATCGTCTCTAAATTGACTAGCCCGGATCTACGGGCGTTACATTTTCCCTAATATTCCTTTAAAATATTATATTTTCTTGAACTGGTTTTAATTTTTTTTATTTAAACCCTTTTTTATATTTTAAAATCATTGAAGTAAAAAAAATAAAATAAATAGATCGTATTGACCTCAACCAATGGTTGTACGAACCACAATATGTGTTGCATGTTTTTTTTTTTTTTTTAATTTTTATGGCAATGTATAGATAATTGATTTTGATATACAAAATTCCTCTGTTTTCATCTTTATGGGATATTTTAGATATCTAATTGGTAAGCTTTCACTGAATTACATGTACAATATAATATTGCAGTTATCGGGACAAGTGGAATTTTATTAACAATCATATATGTGTGTGACTATGTGATATATATATATATATATATATATATATATATATATATATATATAGAGAGAGAGAGAGAGAGAGAGAGAGAGCGAGAGAGAGAGATCTTCATACATCATATATATATATATATATATATATATATATATATATATATATATATATATATATATCCAAACTTATAAGAGGTTGTGCAAGTAATCATGATTCCAGACCTACAAAATCCCACAGGAAATCATGATTCTAAACATTTTCCAAAATAGGAATAGAGCTCATGAGTTGTTCAAACCTAAGTAGCAACATTGAATTCTAGCAATGGATTTCCAGTATTATATGTCACTCTGATTAATTCATCCATTACGTATCCTTACAATACATAGATACCTGCTCAAAATTTCCCCAATGCACCTTAAGAGTCCTCTGGCTCATATATGGCTCTAGAGCATACTGCAAAGAGTAGAACATGAAATCTATGGTTAGCAAATGGGAAATATAATGGGGGAGGAGAGAGAAAAGATAACAAAGAGAATCTGTTAGGGTGTAAAGTCACACTTGGATGTATTTATGCTTTACCCACTTGTATTGTGTAATGAGTTGTCTTTCCTATAAATAGGAAGTGGGTGACACTCATTTATGTAATGAACACTTTGTGAGCATTAGTTTAGAGAGAGAAATTGCAAGACCCATTATTTGTACTCTTTCTATCAATACTAATGAGAGTTAAACCCAAATTTATTTACTTCATGTGTTCTTGATTTTGTGATGATTCACTAGATCTTTTCGAATTCCACACATGCCATCATAATCAACACCACTATATAATTACCATTCTATAATATGGAGGTTTCAAGTTGTAGTAAGCAAATATGTTTTTTGGTTGTATGGTTGTATAGTGAATCATATACAACACCAAAAAATCAGTTCAATGGCCCCGGAACACTGAACATAAATAATAATTATTTACTTATCAACAGACAACTAAAATATATAAATTCATCCAGTCTCGAGCTACTACAAGATGTTGTCTTCTCTCTTAATACAATACATCCTATATCATGTCAAAGGTACACATATTGTAAAAAAAGAAGAACATGAACCAAATAAACATAACAAATTGTTACCGACGGTGTGATTTATGGTTTGGTATAAGGGGTGGGGCTGCTAACTTCCAGGCCAACAAAACTAACCAAAATATTGAGCTCTAAGAATAACATTGCCTGCTAAGGTTAATCGAGTGAAATCATGTATTCCTCTTAGAATAAGAAAGTCCAAATTTTCGACTATTTCACAAAAAGCTTGCAATTTTCCAAAAGCTTTATATAAATTCACCAAAAAGCTTGCAATATTTTCATGAAATCAAGGCAAATTAATAATGTTCTAAAATGAACAAATGAAATAACCTTTCACTTGAAGAACAACCCCTGCAAAGACACCAAAGCCTATTTGAAGTTAATGATGGTTGAAGGCTTCAATCTTTGCATAGCACAGAGTCTATTTGTTTGGAAGAACAAAGAACGGAAAAATACTTTGAGGGCTGTCGACTTCCACCCTCTTTTTGTTAATGCATCCATATATATTAACCTGAAAAATAATGATTAACAATAAGAAAATCAATAACCGAAAACAAAATCAACCATGTCAAATAGGAAGGAAAAAGAGAATCCCTAAATTGAGGAACCTAATAACCTAAATCAATTTTAAGAGGAGGTGATATTTTGAATGAAATAGAAGTAAAAGAATAACTCCATGAGCACAAGAAAGAGACATCGAAACGTAAACATAATTAATTATAAGCAAATTCACCTGATTTCTCCACCATCGCTACCAATCAACTTTTACCCTCTCTCTCTCTGATTTAATAGCGAATCATATTAAACATTTCATAAATAGGCAAAACTAAAATAAAAACAACCATAAACAAATATACTAAAAAACCAATATCAACGTCTTAGAAATATTTGGGGAGTAGGGACCTATAAAAGAAGACGATTTTTTTTGTTAAGGTTTGAAAGGGAGAGAGATTAAACCTGAAATAAACCTGAAACTGAACTAGAATGTAGATGTTTGCTCCAAATGCCGATAGAACTCTATTTATATATACAAAGTTCCAAGAGATCAGGGGAGCGTGGGTAGTTGTCCCGGTCACCAGTTGATTGCAAATAAAACGGAAGGTTGACAGTTGAAGGAGAAGAGGGTTCGCCGAACGTGGGAAAGAAGAAGTGGAGGAAGCTAGAAACTGTTTGTTTGTTTGTTTGTTTTTTTTTTTTTTTTTTTTTTTTTTTTTTTTTTTTTGTAAATAAGAAGTTTATGTACCTAGGTTTGAAAGTTTAGAAGATCATAAGGGTGTGGTTTAGATGATGGTTATTTGTGACATGATGTTAGTAATAATAATAATTAATATCATATAGTTTAAGATAAATTTTTATTTATTTTATTAAAATAATTATAATTTAATTTTACTGATAGCATTCATCCATATTTTTAATGTAAGAATTTTTATTTAATAATTTACTGGTGATTTTAGTTTATCATTTGCTAAATTATTTTTGATAATTTTTTGGCCCTTAAATAATTGAAAATAAAAGGGAGTTCTCCCTGTCTACTTCTTTTAGGTCTTTCTTTCCCTCCAAGCCAACCAGGAACCCTTCTTCCCTTTCATAATCTCCATCGGTCCAAAAATCGTCACTCAAGATCACCCCATCGAAAATTCTTAGGCATATTTTTCACATCCCGAATCCTAATTTGCTCCACAGGTACGTAATGTTTATATGCCTATTCATTGATTCATGTACAAGCACGATCAAGCATCTTTCATGAATTTCAGATCCAAAGTTTTCTGTTACACTTGCTAGCCATCATCTTCCTTTTGAATGCAGTATACCCTAACATTTCGTGTAAATGATCACTGTTGTCTGTGAATTTGTCGTTAACCTTTACGCTTTACGAGAGACATGATTTTGAATTTAGGGTTTATCATCGGCCAGAGAGTTTTTGATCGATAGTCATTTACGCTTTGCACTATGCAGGGTCTTTCACTGATATTCTATACGACATGGGTGACAGTCAGTACTCGTTCTCACTTACTACTTTCAGGTATAATCGAGTTTATTCTCTAGTCCACTAATCTCAGATATGCACTAACCTCGGATTTGTATATGCTTAAAAAATGAAATGACTTTTCTTGTGATCCAATTTAAAAGCATGAAATCTGAGTTTCCAAACCTGTATTTTTATACATTAGATGGCATGTATGGACACATATGTATCTAGGAAAATTTATCTGGTTTTATCTGTTATTGCAGCCCTTCTGGAAAGCTTGTTCAGATTGAACATGCCCTCACAGCTGTTGGCTCTGGGCAAACTTCATTGGGGATAAAAGGTAACTCCAGTTTCATGATTATCTATTTGGTCCCTATTAGTTTTAATAGCTATTAACAACTTGTAGGACATCATAGTTACTGCTGTGACAGTTACTATTGTTGCATCTTTTGATTTATTAATCAAATCTTACCTGTTCAAATGTTTATTGCAGCTTCAAATGGAGTTGTAATTGCAACTGAAAAGAAGCTCCCATCAATCTTAGTCGATGAGACATCGGTAATTACAAATTATATATCCAAAGCATTAGTTGTTAAACTCTAGCATTCTAATACAAAGCAAAATATCAAATCCACTTCAATTTTCACTTCTACTTCTTAAATATTTGTACAGTATCTGATATATTGTTTTGTTGATTTCAGGTGCAAAAGATTCAGATTTTGACTCCTAACATTGGAGTTGTATATAGGTAAGGTTTCGAAAATTCAACCAATTATTTTTATGCAGAATAGCAGCTATGATTATTATACATGTTTTGAAGTGGATTTTATTTTCATTCCCAGTGGCATGGGGCCTGATTCTAGAGTTCTAGTCAGGAAGAGCAGGAAGCAAGCAGAACAATACCATCGACTATACAAAGTACACTTATTGTCCCATTCACACATTTAGGGCTGTTTCTTTTTTACTTAATGGGTTAAGCACTTAATTTCAACAACTACACATGGTTTTTCTTTTTGACTTAATCTGGATAGAATGACTATTTGGCCTTTTTATCTTTCACTCCAAACTCCCCTCACTTTATCTAGACATACATTACTACCCATTAAGTCACTTTACACATACTGGACTTAATGGGAAAAAAATGAACAGCCCTTTAGTTTTATTTTTTTTAGATAATCTTCAGCAATTTCTAAGCCTTTTTAATTTAAATTTTTGTTTGATATGATATTTGCAGGAACCAATCCCTGTTACACAACTTGTAAGGGAAACTGCTGCTGTTATGCAAGAGTTTACTCAATCGGGGTAAGTTTGTTTTTCTTACCCTTTTTGATGGTGAAAACTGATATTTTTATTTTTATTTTTTATAACAATTACTTATTAAATATTCCATATTTTAAGTGGAACTCTTACATTCAGCTTTTAACATATGTTTCTTTGTGTAGTGGTGTAAGGCCTTTTGGTGTTTCACTCCTTGTTGCGGGTTATGATGACAAAGGTCCTCAACTATATCAGGTATATATAAATTGGTTACCTTATTCTTTTTATATATAAACATTTTCTAAATGGTGTATTTTGTGTGGAAATGTATTTGATGCAGGTGGACCCCTCAGGTTCATATTTCTCATGGAAAGCTTCTGCCATGGGAAAGAATGTTTCCAATGCAAAAACATTTCTTGAAAAGAGGTGTTAATATTATGATTGTGTGAATCCTTAATTTTTTTAGACATTTGGAAATGTGAAGAAAATATGAAGTAACAAAATTGTTATTATTAATAACTGTGAATATTTGTCAACTTGTAGGTACACTGATGACATGGAGCTTGAGGATGCCATACACACAGCTATTTTGACATTGAAGGAAGGGTAAGCAGCTTGAATTTTAAACAATGATTAATTTTTTTTTGAGAAAGTAATATAAATAAGCAGGGGGAATTTGTAAAAATATAGGAGTTTGAAACGTTTTTTTTTCTGATACTTTCTCTAGTTAGTCGTTCATTCTGCATTAAGTAAAAACTGTGTATACAAAATCTGTTACTTTTTTTTGTCTGAATCGGAGTAAATGACTATTATACCCTTGTGAGCTTCATTGAACAACAAGGAGGCCAATCTTTTAATAGGGATGGTCTTAATATATATGAAGTGGCTAAAATTTTCACCTAACCCATTCAGTCATTCTGTTTGTATTATGTAAAAGAAACAACCTCATATATCTGTATGCATTAAGCTCTGTATCAATTAAATAAAAAAAAAACAACACCTAAGTTTTATCCTTTAATGTATTTCAGATTTGAAGGACAAATTTCGGGAAAAAATATTGAGATTGGTGTGATTGAGGCAGACAAAACATTCAGGTAAATTTATTAGTTATACATTATAACTGAATCTAACTGTCAACATCTTGATAATATTTTTTTTTGGTTGTTGTTGTAGAGTCTTAACTGCAGCCCAAATTGAAGACTATCTTCAAGAGGTGGAATAGTTATTTGTGTTAGTATTGGGATTTTAAATTTCTTTAAATTAAAAGATTTCCAGGTGTCGAAATCTAATGGATTTAGTTGTGTTGACTTTGACTAGATCCGATATGTACTTGTTGACTATCTTGAAGAACTTATGTGTTGGTGAAAGGATCTATTTGGTTTTTGCATCATTGAACTCAAAACAAAAAGCATGTCTTGCATTTATTAAGATATAAATTAACTAGCAAATAGTTACAAAAGAGTAAATTACATAAATGACTAAAAGGTCCTTGAAAGTTTCTTCATATTTACAAAAGAGTAAATTACATAAATGGTCCTTGTGGTTTGGTCGAATTTGCAGGTTTAGTCTAACCTTTGACAAATTGATAGGTTGTGTCCTTATGGTTTGGATAAATTACACCATTGGTCCTTTTTAATTGATGCTGTTAATACTTGGATGTTAAGTCTAATTAAAAGACCAATATACCTCTATTTACTTATTTGTTATCATTTTATTTTATAAACTACATGGACTAATTATGTAACATGGACTAATCATGTAATAAACACTTAAAGGGAATAAAAGTCCTAAAAGTTAACCCATCATCCCACTCTACCTTGAAATCAGATGAACCTCTTTCCTTATCATTCAACTTTCTTTTCACTTTTTCCTATGCATCATGATCATCATAATCTACTGTCATCGCACCACTGGTACCATCTTCGTTGCCATCATGATTAGTTCTTCTGCCTAAATCATCGTTGCCATCTCAACCACCTCCGGCTCCATATCCATTGCCTCCCTGTTCCTCCCTCTTTATTAACCTGGAAAATGGATTCTCAGGTAAACCACTGCTCGTACATCGTGGATGGTTTGTTTTGTGGACCCGAATTCAATGGAGGGAACAGTTTTCTTGCCGACATGTGTTATGCTATGTGGACTAATGTGACATCCCCAAAATCACGGCCAGAAAAGACCGATTTTGTTTATGCTTTATAAAAATCAGAGTACTTCATTTTATAAAAAGGTTGCGGAATTTGTTCCCAGAAAAACACGATAAATACATTATTAAAACATTTTCGAAGAAACGTATTTTTATTCTTCTTAAAACGTTTGGGATGTCATCGTTAATACAGAAACATAAGCATAAACAGAACTTACATTTATTTACACTAGTGATCTACATCTCTTTAAATCTCTCAGCGTAAAGTGACTTCATATCAACACCTGTGATATACATAAACTGAGTGGGTCAGGCTTGGGAGCCTGGTGAGCACATAAGGTTTTCAACCCACAATAAATAAGTTTATTAATTTCATCAATCAACAATAACCCGATTACGCGTTCCCGTTATCCTCACTTTACGTCCCTAAACACCTATCATAAGGGACCTAGTCTAAGGATCATCATCGGGACGGACACTACTGCTAAGGGGATTCCTCAGCAATAAATGTCCTATTAGGCAACCATGTGGGGGATGGAGTACACCGGTGAACACATCGTTCACAACACCTACAGGTTGCGAGCCTGCTAGTGTTCCACTGGACTGTCTAGAAGAGTCCGTGGTCGTCATCTATACTCCGCTAGATGACTGGATCAACAACAACAACATCGAGGCCTCTCATCATTTTATCACACATCACCTATTACATCTACCCATGTTTTACCCCAACATTTTCGTAGATATAAAATACATATACAGTTTAAATCATTGAAAACATGTATAACAACGTTCATCTAGCATAGATAGCAAGTATTCAGATAATATGCGCACATAGCACGTAATTTATATAAAATACTTCATATCTATGTGTAAGTTGAAGGTAACTATGCACTCACCTGATTAGGTGGTGACTCAGCACTCGGACAACGCTTCGATACTCTCAAAATGATATTCCTTCGATAAAACCTAGTATCGATACCACTAGGGTTTAGTTTAATGATAACCGCGACAAATTAATTAGTCTGAGTATTATTAAGCATTAGTAATACTCGATATATCTCATAATAATAGCCCACATAATTATTTTAAGGACCTAATAACATTCCTATAATTATTTGAAAGCTATATTAAAAGTTGCGTAAGCGTAGCATACTTACAGCGAATTTTATCGAAAACCGGAACTTAATTGGAGCAGCGTTTCGAAACCGAAAAACTCCTTTTTCTCGGGACTCCGGGAGCCTCGGGGCTTCCCTAGGGTGCTAGGGGTTTAACTAGGGCTTAGGGGTGGTTTGGGGTTGTAGAGAGAGAAAGAATTTAGAGAGAGAAAGGATTTTGGTGTGAAAAATGAGGGCACCTTCGGCCCCCTTTTATAGGCGCGAGGGCCTCGCTACGCTGGGCGTTCGGTGGTGCTACGCGGGGCGTAGCTCGGAAGTGGTTGCCAGCTCGCAACAGCTGGCTCGCACTCGGACTCGGACGGATAAGGCCGGAGGTACGCGGGGCGTACCGGACCTCGTACGTGGGGTGTAATGCGAAGGGGCGTGTCACTCATCCGAAGCGAGACCGTGGGCCGCAAGCGACGGCTGGGATTGTGCCATGTCATCAACTTCGCAACAGGTTTCGCATTTTCGAGTCCTAACTTCAAAAATTCGTAACTTTCGCATACGAGCTCCGTTTTTGACGTTATTTATATCCACGCGAAGGTGGGAACGTACTCTACAACTTTCATTTAGACTTCGTCGGCTAATTTTGGCTCGATTTTAAATTTTATATTATCAACCGGTCGGGATAGGATTGGTCTGTTAAATCCTCATAACTTCTTCATCCGACATCCGTTTTCGCCCATCTTTTTCTCGTTACACTACTCTTAACGAGATCTTCGATTCTCATTTAGGTCGTGTTGGCTAAAAACCGCTCGATCAAACATTTGAATTTCGGGCTGTACACTACTAGTCCGAAACTTCGAAAAATCGTAACTTCTTCATACGAAGTCAGATTTGGGCGTTCTTTTTATCGATGTTCTTAGTTTAACATATTCTACGACTTTTGTTTATATTTCTAAGGCTAAAAAGTCTTCTATCATAAATTCACTATTTACGTCTTCCGGTGCCGTGCCGGTTTTGCCGTAAAACTTCGGCGGGTCATAACTTCTTCGTTATAGCTCGGATTTCGGCATTCTTTATATGTACGGAAACCTTGAGACATATTCTACAACTTGGTTAAGATTATTTATTCTAAATAATCTTTTGTCGAAAAGTCATTTTTGACCCCTATTGCCTCTAATTTGTCTAGCCCGGATTTGCGGGCGTTACAACTAAGATCGTCATTGATATTGTCACAGACATCTAGCTTCTAGAGATTTAATGGGAGGGGTAAAGAGACGAAGGTTGATGGGTACAGTTAACTAAGATTAGAGATCGTCATATGGGTTGGCAACGACAATGGGTGTTGGATGATGGTGCGATGGAACAACACTTGAGTCCTTTAATGTCTGATTTTGAATTTGCAACTCATCTCTTATGAAAAAATTAGGTCTTCTCATTACAACACTTGAATCCTTTAATGGGTGTTGGATGATGGTGCGATGGAACAACGCTTGAGTCCTTTAATGCCTGATTTGAATTTGCAACTCATCTCTTATGAAAAAAATTAGGTCTTCTCATTACAAAATTGAGTCCTCATGCTCTGATTTTGAATTCATCATCTTTTGCAAGGATTTAGTGGTGGAAACACATAAATAGGGGTATGGTTTGGATATAAGTCTCCAAGCATCTAATCCTTTTAAAAAATCATCACTATTGTTCTTTGATTGGTATCTGAGTCTCGACATGGAGATTTAAGTGTGATTGATTTTAGTACTTGAGATTTTGTTTTTTTGTTTTTAGTTTCATTTATTTGGGTTTCTTTGATTTGTGTGTACCAGTTTAGATTCTAATATCATTCAATTTTGGTTTTAGATTTCTAATTTATGCTTTTTTACTCATTAGTTGTTGTAAAACTACAAAATTACTTGTAGGCTACGGCTTGCTGGAGAAGATGACCATCATTGGAGACGCCATCGTTGGAGCCAATGAACATATAGGTGGTAGCGGGTGAGGACATGGTGAGCCGATTTAACTTAATAAATTATAATCAACAAATAAATAAAAACAAATTAAAAAAATAGATTGTGGGGTTTGTTAGTCATTTTAAATGTTTTTAACGGAAATTTACTATCAGAGTTAGATAGAAGGACCAAAACTGCAATAATTGGAAACCACATGGACTTGACCTATCAACATTTCGAAGTTTGGACTAGAACTGCGAATTTAACTAAACGGCAGGAACCATTTATGTAATTTACTCTTTACAAAATCACATTCGACATGCAACTTTTGTAGTTTTTAGTAGGGATGAACATGAGTCGGTTTGGGTCGGTTTTTGGCTAAAACCAAACCAAACCATAGAAAGTCGGTTTTTCGGTTTTCCGGGTTGGGTTTATGGGTTTTCGGTTTTAAACCGTGGATTTATGAGCTCCTTTTTTTTTTGTTCAAACCTAGTGTTGCGATGAATAGTATTGTATCACTTTAAATATACTAAAATAAAGAGTACGAATTCTAGTATTATAAAAGCATAAAAATGTTCACAAGATCAAAGTTTAACACAATTAACAGTTTGTTGAAAATAAAGTATTAAAGAGATAAATTCTAAAGTCTAAAACTAAAAGTTTAAATCATAATATAAATAATATATATGTGGGTCGGTTCGGTTTTTATGGACGGTTTTATACGTCAAAACCGAACAAAACCGTTATTTTTCGGTTTTTGTAAAATTCAAACCTAAACCGTCGGTTATTGTTTTGGTTTCGGTTTTTCGGTTTCGGTTATGTCGGTTTTTTTCGGTTTTCGGTTCGGTTTTTGCTCATCCCTAATTTTTAGCTTTAAAAAAGCTAGAAAAAAGAATAAATACAAATCTCAAAGGGCTTTTAATTTTTAGCCTAAACAAAAAGCTTTAAGTAGTATTTAACCAAAAAAATTCTTTCTATTATCACAAATATTACATTTGTCCTTAAGAAAATTTTTATTTTATATAATTTTAAAAGTTTTAAAATCTTTCAGCTAAAAAAATTAAAAACCGTAACTTTCAACTGCTAGCTATTAAAAACTTTAGCTTTCAACTCCTAGTTATTAGCTTTCAACTAATTTTACGAAACAAGTCTGAAATTTTATTTCTCATTTTTTTGGAATGTATCTTATAGTAATTAACTATTATATTTAGTTGGCTATATCTTATTTAAACAATCGTTGGATTGTTCTACAACTTAAGCTTTTATATCTATTCTTATGAAATTTTACATATTTTGTTTAGGTTCTATTTTTTTTAACAACAAGAAATTTATTAAAGCAATACAAGCAAGATGCCAGTGAACATTAACAGAAATACAAGATCAATTTGAACTGATGTTTCAGCTATCCCACCATAAAAAATATATCTTTAATTTCCCATAAAATGGAATTACAATTCATGATCTTGTCCTTGAAATCTTGTTGTTCCTATACCCATAAAACCCATATGAAAACCAATAAAATCACTCTTAATTTGCTGCTTTTATCTTTTTTATCTCTCTTCTGAATAGTTTAGGTTCTATTAAGTTTCGGAATCAAATTTTCCTTTTACATATTTTTTATACTCAAATGGAAACCTCACTTACATGGACATTCGAACTTCTAATGGGTGCAATTTGACAAGTTTGAATGATGAGGGGCCATAGTTGGCAATATCACAGCAATGTTTTGATAGATGTATATGAACAATGAACACTTCAAAAATGTTCGATTTTGGACGACAAGAACGACATGGGTAGCGATCGTAAGTCGAAAAAGAAGAGGTCTCCGGCTGAGTCCTCGTCGGAAGGTTTTTGTTCTTCTCTTCGTTACCAAATATTTCTCTGTTAATACAATTTTCAATACGAATTGATGAGGATACTCGTGTTATGTAGACGAAAGGAAGAACAAAAGGCGTAGAAGTTCAGAAACAAAGAGTGATAAGAAAGAGAGAGACTCCGATAGGAAGCACAAATCGCATAAGTCTTCAACTACTAAAGGTACGCTTCGCTACATCATGAGCTTACATCCAGTTTTAGTTCAGTTGTTGATTTATTTCTGTAATGGAGGAAAGCTAGGGTTTAATTTGTTATCGAGTATCGTCTTAGTATAAACACCCTCGATGCGATTACTTACAGAATCAAGCTACTTAGTGCGATTAGGGCTTTTCAGCTGTCTGTCTGCGCATTCAGTTTTCCATTCACGAAGATACAATACCCAAATTTTTTAGCCTTCTGATGAATCTTATACCCTTGTTCTTGTACAATTGGTATTTGGAACTAAGAATCTAGTTGTAAGGACTTGTATGCTGCCAATAATCCCTTTGATTTGAACAACAAGCTGATTACTGTTTCTCAATTGTTGTAACTTTGATTCAGAAGGGAAGCACAAACACAAAAGTAAACACCACAAGCATGAACGTCGTGTGGTGAGTCCTGTTCAATTGTTTTATTTCAAAAGTATTTAGCAGAAAGTTATTGAACTTCAAGTATATGAAGAAGCTTTTGACTGAATGTTTTCAGATATCAAATTTCAAGGAGCTTTCAGACGCTGATTACTTCTCCAAGAACAATGAATTTGCCACATGGCTCAAAGATGAGAAAGACATGTTCTTCTCAGATCTTTCTTCAGAATCTGCACGTAAACTATTTGCAGAATTCATCAAAGATTGGAACAAACAAAAGCTTGATTCCAAATATTATGATGGCATTGTGACAGGGCCACGAACATCTCATAATTGGAAAATCAAAGTGGATACAAAAGGGTAAGTTCATAATATTTTTAGCATCAGAACATGCAGATTTTCGCTATCTGTTACTTTGTAGAATTGTAAACACTGAGTTTCAGTAAATCTAATTTTAAATTCGTGATTCTTTCAAACTCTCAAATACGTTTATGAAATGATTGGGCAACAAGCTTTAGGGTTGATGTCTTCATAAGTTTCCTCAATGTTCATACTTAGTCCCTTAACTTAGGGTTTGTTCTGAACTCACCCAAGTTGAAAATGTTTTCACATTTAGCCTCCTTAAGAAAAATATTTAATGACAATTCTAATCCAATGATCAATATATATATGATACTAAGGTACTATAATCAAGGCTCAAAGCCTCTTAGATTTTCCCAATATTGAAATAAGCCCAATACTTTATATAGGCCCAACACCTTAATATGCCCAGATGAGCCAGACCATTAAATATCACATGCCCAAAATACACTGTTATTTTCGGTTTAAATTATGATTTAATTAATCATTTCCAAGTACGTATTAAACTTAAAATATTTAATTCAGATGTTTAGATAGTCTGAATATTTCAAAACTATAAAATTAGTAATCAACATGTGTCGAAAAACCGACTATTCACAATTTTGAACTACCTTGTAAGCTGTTTTTGATAGACTATTTTGAGATAACTTATGGAGTTTTTTCAAAAATATTCTAAATATGTTTATATATATATATATATATATATATATATATATATATATATATATATATATATATATATATATATATATATATATATATATATCAGTAATTGTCCATTTATATAGTTTTACGTTGCAATCTAGTATATAAGATACCTTTTATTTTTTTACAAACAATACTAGTTAATAAACTACCAATTAGCTTTCCAGCTATAAATGATATTGGTCCTCGTTTAATCCTATTATTACTTCTTCGAATATTTAGTTTGTATAAACAAACTACTCCACTAAAACAAAATTTGTAATTTTAGTTTTTGTTTTCTATTTTCTTTTGCTTAAAGGAAGGGTTTATTTGTCATTCTAAAAGTCAAAGTTTGACTATTAAAATTTTAAAATAATATAGATATGGATATTAGGCATGACGTGTGCGGATCATCATGCTTAAGAAGGAAGGAAGTTAACATCATTAAATGTTAGCATTAAAGTTGTTGCAGACAAAATTTTCATTTATGAGTGAAATTAAGTACAAGGTTTTTAATTTGTACATCGTGTATAAAGAGTTGTATATCTAAGAAAATAATACTTTTGATTTACCTAATACAAAAATAATGATATATTCATAATTTACATTTATTAAATGTACTTTCACAAAAACTTGATCACTACGAGTAACTAAAATAACATTTCATTAAAATAAACACAATTAATCCAAGTAAGCTCATATAATGAAGTTGTGTTTCATGAAACAGGATACTAACCTATTTATTAAAACTAATAACTTAAATTTTTTTGAAACAACAAATAATTTAAATATCTCATGTATGAGATTGAACCCAGGTTAGTTGTTAGATTAAAAACCTCTATTAGACATGTTTGATAGATAATCATGTGAAGACTTTTATTTATGTTTGTTCATTGTAAAATACCAAGGTGTATGTTTTTTTGTTAAATCAAAAAATTAAGACAATTAATCCATGTAAAGCCCATAAAATAAACCAATATTTGGAAGCCCAAAACATTAAAAAGGAAATAATAAATTAACCCTAAAATCTAAATGCCCATAAGCAACACAGAGAGGGAGGGAGGGAGGGAGAATAAGTAGAAGGGGATCAATGGCTCCTTCAACATGCCACGGCTCCATATTTTTTGGTATTGGTCATGGTGGTACATCGAAGCTTAGTCGAAGGCAAATTGCCTCCATTTCGTCCATCCTAAGGAACATTATTGTTTCAGATGCAAAATAGAAAGCAACATTCTTAAGAGTATATGGGTTGTTACATTTGTAAGAAAGTTCCAAATTAACAAAATATTAATACATTATCATCTATCCGAACTCTAAGATAAATCCACAAAAATTATGAAGTTTTGCACTTCAAGTTTCTTGTCAAAGCTTCCCATACAAATAGCTTGCTCCAAGGAGTCGAGACAATATAGGTTGTCATACAGTAGGATGTTAGACGATTTGAGTTGTTCTCAAACATACCCAAACTTGAGTATTTTTTCAACTTTGCTCTCTTTTTTTTAGGAGCTTGTCCCCCCCCCCCCCCCCCCACCCCCACCCACCCAAAAAAAAAAAAAACTATGTCCCTTGACCCCTTGACCTTGACATTAGAGTTGAGTTCAAAGTATTAGATCATATAAGTCCTCATTTAATAACTTTGCTACTACAATAAATTACTGTAACACCATAACTTTTTTAACAAAATTTTCATTTAGAAATCACATAATTCTCATAACATAGTTCATAAAACCCCAAATGGCAATGTTTTCAAAAACACATATTCAGAAAACTGTTTTAAACATAATCCAAGATCCTCAAAATGTGACTCCGCCTCATGTGTACAATCAAGTCGACACATTCTCGTGATCCTGAGAAGTACCTGAAACACATAACACATAACACGGTAAACGTGAACCTTAGTGAGTTCCCTGAAATACCACACATATCTCATTAACCTCTTATGGCTAAGCTCAAATAAGACCCTCCGGTCTATGTATCTCAGTGGGACCGTTCGGTCCCACAACTTGGGTGGACCCTCCGGTCCTAATTCAGCAAGCTCAAAATAACATAACACAAAACACAAAGATATAATGCAGGATATCACAATACTCGATATAAGCACATAAGACCTTCCAGTCACACAAAGATTACCACTCTAGGTAAAGTATAGTGAGTAAGAAGTCGGATAACCTCGAACTTAAATCATCGGTCTAGCCTCTGCCTAACACATATGATAATTATCTCTAATTAATAACGGATCTCAAAGAAGTTAGACTAACCCTTTTACAAACTCATAGAAGGATAAAATACCATTTTACCCTTCCATGGCCTTAATAGTCTACAAATTGAGCAAACCCTAAAAGTCAACTAAAAGTCAACGGCAGTGCGTACGTTGTGTGTACAAGCCCTCTACATTGGTCGTACTCTTTCGCCGTGAATGCATCGGGGATTTTTGACACTACACTGCGCGTATTGGGATTACGCTCAACATATGCCTCGGTTTTGCTCTTCCTACTCATTTGGTCTAATCTGTCAAGACCTTAGCTCAAATCTTAGATCTGGACTACCTAAAGGCTCATACTCCATAAAGTCGGTGACTTTAAGCCTTTGCATGGCTGATAAAGTCACAAACACCAAAACTCTCACTCTCACTCTCTATTCTCAATAATGCTCATATCTCATGCATGGGTTGGTTTAAACGTCCAAGTCTCGATATTTATAAATCTACACCACTAAAAACACTCAAAGGAGCTGATAATAAACTATGGAGCTCAATATCTCATAAAGCATCCAACTTTGGGACCCAAACCCTAAAATGAACTAAAATGATGCACAAATCAAAAGGGTGAGAAAGCTTTGAGCTTTATACCTCTAAATAAAGCTCCAACCACAGATAAGCTGAGATCCAAAGCCTGGACTCCCACTCCTTTCTCTTCAAAGCTTATTCTTCACTCCAAAGAAACACAAGAACACTTAATAGCTCACAAATGGACATACAAGCTCAAGGGATGAGAAATTAGGGTTTGAGAGGGTTGATGTCTGGGAATGGTGGCTAGAAATGAGGCCATCATGTCCTTTAAATAGGGACACACCCTAAATTAGGGTTTTCACTATGGGCCTAGTACGCCCAGCGTACTAGGTGGCATTTGCATAAAAAACACGCACATGAGTACGCTGAGCGTACACAAGCGTACTCATTTACCACCTTTTTCTCATATAAGGACCAAACTTGACAATTACCAAAAAAAGGGTTTATAAAGTATATCTGGTCTTGGGATGTTACAATCCTCCCCCACTAGAATTAGACTTTGCCCTCGAAGTCATGCTCCGGAAATAACTCTGGATACTGCTCGCGCATCTCGGACTCCGGCTCCCAAGTCCACTCGGATCCCTTCCGATGTTGCCACTGTACCTGAACCAGGGGCACCTCTTTGTTCCTTAGAACCTTCACTTTCCGATCCAAGATCGGTATCGGTCTCTCAGTATAACTCAGGCTCACATCAACTTGAATGTCCTCTAATGGTACCACCGTCGTCTCATCGGCTACACATTTCCTCAAATGAGACACGTGGAAGGTGTTATGAATCTGACTCAACTCTACAGGTAGCTCCAATCGGTAAGCTACCTTACCCACTTGGGCGACCACTCTGAAAGGACCAATGTGCCGGGGTCCCAACTTGCCCCGTTTCCTGAATCGAATCACCCCTTTCCATGGGGATACCTTCAGGAGGACAAAATCTCCAACCTGGAAATCTAGCTCGGATTGCCGCTGATCTGCGTAACTCTTCTGGACACTCTGGGCTATCAGTAACCTCTGTCTGACCTGATAAATCTGCTCGGTCGTCTTTAATACTATCTCTTATCCACCCATCACTCGTTTCCCTACCTCTCCCTAACATATGGGAGTCCGACACCTCCTCCCATATAAGAGCTCGAAGGGAGGCATGCCAGTACTAGAATGGTGGTTGTTGTAAGAAAACTCATCCAATGGTAAATAGGTGTCCCAACTTCCTCCGAAGTCCATGACACATGCACGTAGCATATTCTCGAGCGTCTGAATCGTCCCCCCACTCTACCCGTCTGTTTGCGGGTGGTATGTGGTACTGAAATGCAACCGGGTACCTAACTCCTCATGAAACTTCTTCAAGAACCTGGAAGTAAAGCATACATCTCGATCTAACACTATCGAGGTCGGCACTCCATGCCGTGCTACCACCTCTCTCACATAAATCTCGGACAGTTTCTTTGCAGAAGAGCTCTCATTGGTGGCGAGGAAGTGAGCACTCTTCGTCAACCGGTATACAATCACCCATATCGCGTCAACCCCATGCGTAGTCCTCGGTAGTTTAGTGATGAAATCCATCGAAATATGCTCTCACTTCCACTAGGGAATCTGTAGAGGCTGTAACAGGCCATGTGGATGCTGGTGCTCCGCCTTAACCAACGACAGGTCTAGTACCTCTCAACTACCCATGCTATGTCTCTCTTCATACAAAGCCACCAATAATCTCTCTTCAGGTCCAAATACATCTTAGTGACCCCTAGGTGGATCAAGAATCTTGATCTATGTGTCTCCTCCATCAGTATACGCCGAGCTCCACCCGTATAGGGCACCCAAATCCGCCCTCAGAAAGTCATAAGGTCACGACTATCCGTCTCAAACTCGGAAACCTGCCCAATCACCCGCTCCCTCTTGTAGTTTTCCGGTCTCACGGCCTCCACCTGCGCCTCTCGAATGATATCTAAGACTGGAGTCATCGCCGTCATCCTCACACACACATCTCGAATCCGAGCACTTGCCGCTTTGCGGCTCATGGCACTGACTACCACATTAGCCTTGCCTGAATTGTAACATCCCGAGTTCAAGGGTGCAAAGTTCAGGGTTTAAAGTGAAAATGTGAATGATCAACTCGGCGAGTCCATGGGTAGACTCGGCGAGTAGGGTCGCGATTCTAGTCGCGTGTCTAGTGGCCAACTCAGCGAGTTGGTGCTGTGTGGAGAAAACCCTAATCCTAGTGATTTGGCCCTATATAAAGAACATAATACCCTCTCGCTAGCCTCTTTGCTCTCCCTTGAAGTCCAGAAACCCTAATACTCGTTGTGAGAGAATTAGAGAACATTTGGATCTTGAAGGAGTGTTTATTGAAGAGATCTTTGAAGATTAAGAGGCTTGGAGCAAGGGGCTTTTCAAGGTTTTGACTTATTCTTCTGTTGGAGCCTTCTTTTGAGGTAATGATTCATTGCTTGAGCTGTTATCCATCTAGATCTATCATTTGTGGGATTTTTGGGTGTATATCTAGTGCTATCTTGAGTTTGGAGGTTAGATCTGAGGTTGCTACCTCAGATCTAGAATAGTGATGATCCAAAAGAGCATAAAGTCCCTGTTCAAAAGCTGTTGATGAAGTCTTTTAGCCCCAAACCTTAGCCTAAGAGTGTATTATGCTTAGATCTCCTTGGATTCACGTAAAGTTTGCCACTTTACGTGATGGATGGCTTGTATAAAAGTAGATCTATGGATTGGAGACCCTACATAGCTTGGAAAGCCTTTGTATGGGTT